GCCGCACCAAAAGTCATCAACTTTATATTGTTGGAGATCTGGTTGATTTTCTTGGGGCAAGAGTTTGATCGAATTAAGGATTTTATTCTTATTTCTTTATTTCTAAAATTTAAATAAATAAATAACTATAAATCGTGTCCGTACAAGTAATGATGTGTCTCTTATCTTCCCACCTTCACCCCATATTGTTATAATGTTTTGATTCTTGCCCAATTAATTAACTAATTAATCAAACATTTTATGGGCCTCTACAATTAGAATAATTATTTCCAATTTATTAACACGAACTTACTTCAGTAGTTAAAAGACATAAATTTCATCCACCATCTAATACTCACCTAACCCCAACATACTTAGCTAATATGCGTAGAGAAATAAGATAATGTAATAATCTTTAACGCTTTGAGCATAGTCCCGACGACTTTACTTTTGGTTTCACCCGAAATATCTCATATCAATAGACATAATTGTCCTCATTTATATAATCATGGATCATGTTCTTCTCTAACCAAAGTGAGATTTTTTTTGCATTCCCCTTACAAACCCAACAATGTGTTTATAAATGACAATGACTATATCATTATATGATAAAAACTGACATTAAATCTTGGTGAGATTTTTTACCATAGGAACTAAAATTGTTAAGAATTTTAAACTATAGTTGTTACATGTTAAAGTTTAAAGATTACATTGTTAATCATTTAACAATGCCCAGTTATTTTTATTTATTTTTGTTTTCCAAACAATCTACGAGAACTAAGGAATTTATGTAAAGAAAAAGATAATTGTAAAAAAATAAAATCAAAATATCCTAGGATCAAATGAAATCTACATTCATGTCTCCCAGCAAGTTTGTCCTCGAAAATCAAAGCTCCCATTTGTTGCCGGAAAAAAAGGAGTTAATATTAATTTAATCTCATTAAACCAAACACCCCCCAAGAGCCAAAGCCAAAGCCAAAGCCAAAGCCACTGTATTTGATGCTAACTTTTTATTAATAATTATTTTCCACTACATAAAGCTGTCTCCTTTATTCTCGAAGCTTGCTATTCTGTTGACGTGGCGCTTGTTGATTGGACCAGGTGTGATATGATGAGAATTGAGAGAGGAGGGTGTGGTGTGTTGAGAAATTGTATGGGGGTGGGTGCTGTTAGCAATCTTGTGACAGGCTCGAGAGGGGCAAAGGCACGTGTCCTCCTTTTCCTTTCTTTGAGGAAGAGAAACAACTTTTTATTCATTACTTTTATAAAAGAATTATATAAATCGACTCATGAGTCATGCCACAAGGACTTTAAGGAAGAKGGTCGGGATTATACCCTACATGCTATCCTGACTGACTACAATGTAGAGTTGCATCAAATGAGCTTTGAACTTCGTTTAGTGAGAATGGTTCTATAATTATTGTGTGAATTTTGTGACATGTCAGCAACTTTATTTACACAGTTAGAGTTTTGACATCGTGGGTGCCAGCTCGTTTCTTTGTCACTCATCACAGTTTTAGCGTGCAAGCTTAATGAACAAGGGAGCGCATTTTTTGGTGGGTGGTATGTAAAATGTATTAGTTTACAAAATTGAGAGTTCACTCTATTTATTGGGTGTAGTTTTCAATTTGTGAGGATGTCTTTCTTCTTGAGATCAATTTATTGTGTAATTCTTCTTCTACCATCATTAATGAAAGATTGAGTTTCTATTTGGAGAGTAGATGGACACCTTGGTAGAACCATCGACTGTGTTAGATCTTTGTTTTCTTGTTTTTGCTTGAGTTGTTGATAATTGTTTTTCACATATTGTTTGTTAACAAGATTTTTAGATCTAATTCTCAAGATTCCGTATAAAAAAAATATCTATTTTAGTTTTTAGAAATTAAAAAGTAATTCTAAATGGTTGAGAGATGAAATGTGACGTAGATATTGTAGCAGTCAACATTGATTAGTGAAATCCATTTAAAGACGAGATGAAGGAGTAAAGAGATAAAAAACTGTGCGTAGGTTAAAAGTTATAAAATAAAAAAAAAACACAAAAAAAAAACCTATGTGGCCTCATTTTAAAAATTACATTAAAGTCTAGTGAGCAATTGAATTCTATAGTTATAACTTTGTTAGTGGTAAAGTTTAAATGCAACGATTTGATGAGTTCAAATCACATAGTTCTTTGTGTTTTATTTTTTGGGAGAGGAGATTTCATAGTTATCGATGAATGCGAGAGAGACACGTGTCACAATCTTGGAGAAGCATGAGACCCCCGATGCCTCAACTTGCTTTCAGCCTTTGACCGTGACCCCCCACGGTACTTTTTTCACCTTTTTCTTTTTCTTCTTTATTTCACCATAAACTTTTACCCCCCTCCATTTCCCTCTTTTTTAATTTGCCTCTTCTTTTTCTTTTTAGATTATTTATTTATTTTTTCCTTTTTCACCGTGAGTAAAGAGAACACGCACTCCAAAATAAACAGGTTAAATTACAAAAAAAAAAAAAAATTGGTTTGATAATCATTTTGATTTTTAGTTTTTCTTGTTTTTAGTGTTTTGGTTTCTGATTTTTTGTTTTTAAAAAACAAAAATCATATATTTTGATAACCACTTTTTAATTTTTGTTTTTAAAAAACAAAAACCTAAAACTTGGTAACCATTTTTAGTTTTTTGTTTTTGAAAAGTTAGAAAATTGAAAATATATTAGACAGAGAAAATTTTATGTAGACTAAAGATAACAATAGTGTGGGTATGAGTGAGAATGCTCTCCCCCATTATCGAGCTCATGAAAATTTCTAGTCTCCGTCTCCACCTGGGTCCGAGAGATGTTCTCGAGAAAAATTATCGGTTTTATAATTGTTTTTAATTATTTTTAGAATTTAAGTATAAAAAAAATGTAATAAATATATATTAATTATTTAAAAAATGGAATTGGGGACGGGGTCGGGACATGCATTTTCTATTTTTGGGACCCGACCCTGCGGAAATTTTTGTCTTCCCCTAATGTAGAGACATGAGATGTAAATAAACTTTTGGAAGATCAACTTTAGAGAGATAAATAAAAATATTAAAAAAAATAGTGATAGAAAAGTTAAAGACAAAAAGAGAAAAATTTTGGAGAAAAAAATAAAGATATAAAGAAAGAGAAAAAGTATAGTGGAAAATAAAAACAAGATTCAAAATATAACTTTCATAGAAAATAAATACAGAGATAAATAAAAGTAAAGAAAATTAAACGGGAAAATAAAATAACTTTTAGAGGAAAAAATTTATTACCAAGAGAAGGAAAAGTTATAAAATGTGAAATTTTAGAGAAATAAAAAGTTAGGAAAAATATTAAATTTTTAGAAATAGTGGTCTATTAGAACAAAACAAAAATACATAAAAATTTGGAGAGAAACAAATAAAAATAAATATTCAAAAAATGAAAATTTTAGAGGGAGAAAAGTAAAGTTTGTAGGCAGAAATTTAGAAATAAAAAAATAGAGTGAAAATAATTTGTTTAGAGATAAATATGAGAAAGAAAAAAAAAAGTTGAGTACTAAAAAGAAAAAAATAGATTTTGAAATATAAAAATCTGTTGTTTGAAAACGTACTTTTTTTTAATTTACATAGAATTTCAAAATGGTTTTTAAAAAAAAAACAGAAAATTGAATTGATTATCAAACAACAATATTTTTGAAAAACTAAAAACTAAAAACCAATACGCTTAAACATCCGTTAATATATTGAGTGGAAAGCTGACTTTGTAGAATTTAGCACCATGTGACAACTAATGTTTTGATTTTGTCCTAAAAAACTTCTTAATCAATTATTAAGAGGGTTTGCTCTCAATTGTCTACCAAAATTTCTCTTAATCCTCATTTTAGAAACTATAGTTTGTTCCTCATTTCTTTTTTTTTTTTAAGATTTATTCCCAATAAGCTTTCATGTTAATTGTTACGTCGCTCCAGATGTTGGTCAAGTTTTAATATGTTTGTTCAAAATATATTTTTGAAACGTTTGTGAAAGGTCAAAAGTAATATTGAAATTTTTGGAATGATATAGGTATTATTGAAAGAAAGAATAAAGTTTGAGAGTTAGCCAAATAAACTAATAAGACCCGTGATTTTTTTATTACTATTTTGTGGAAAGTGTAGAAAACATGAGGTTGAGAAACAAAATTATGGTATTTTTGTCACTTGTGCTATGATTCAATCTAAAGGGGATCAAATTGAACGGGACAAAATAAGATATTTGTTTGTATTTATATTCCACATATCATAACAATAGTATACTTCATAATTAATTAGTTAAATCATGCCCAATTTATTAAAAAAATTAAAAAGGTATCACATTAAATTATAATATAATTAATAATCTTATTAGTTTGATTAAATTCTACTGAGATAGTTAGATTTTCACTAGGGAGGATTAAAAAAATTGACAGTTCATTACTATCTAAAATAGTTTATGATTTTGCATTTAGCTGTCAAATATTTAAGGGTAGTGAGCACAAGCCATAATTAATTAGATTTAAGTATTTTTTAAAAAATTTAATTCTTAAAATTACATTTTTTTAGTACTTCTTAAAATTACATATAATTACATAATTTCCCTACAAATTCTCATGGAGGATCATAACGTAATCCTCTTCCTCGCCCACATCCCCAATTTTTGTAGTAGAAATTTTAGCGGGAAAATAATTGATCAATCTCCCATAAACATTTTACTAGGGTTTTCTTCGCAGAGTTGGGGCTTTTGATTTCAAGCTTGCATCGTCATCTCACCCATCACTGTTCCTGCCCGATTCTTCTTTCCTCGATGGGAATGGAATCATGGGACACACTCTTCGTTATCTCATCTCTTCCTTGGATTTCGAAGCTTCATTCTATTTCGGTGCAAACACATAAAAGAGCTAATGGTAACGTATTTCTTGAAACATATTTTCGATTTCGTTTTGAATTATCTACATTTAATTGTTCGAATGCTTCCAATACTTTTAGTTTGTTTGAGTTGGAAGATTTAATTAGGGCAATGCGCTTGCTGATGGTGTTGGAGAAAAATATGGAATTCATAGGTCAACATTAGGCCATTTTAGGATAGCCAATGCACTTGGTTTGTTCGTTGATCCGAAATTCAAGTGAATGGTTCTAGTAAATGTTTTACATATTTGTATCTTGCCCCCATTTCCAAATATTTGCAAATCCCAAACCACTGTTGGGAGAAAGCGGAATTCTATATTACTGTCTATTGGTACCAGTAAACACCAAGCCTTTAGAATCCGAGCATTCTTGTAGAAATTTATGTTGTATTTCACTTTTTGATACTGATTTTTCAGGCGCCTGGGCTTTTCTCCAATGGATCTGGCCTCTTCTCCCAGAACTTCAAATGCAAAGCCCTCTTCTCAAGCATCTGCTCAATCTCCTCAATTGGAAGGCCCTTTGTTTCTGGTACGCATATCAGGACAAACAAAAGGGCTACTACTGAAATCAAACCGAATATTAGGAATGTCCAGGAAGTCCCAATCGATTGGGTTAAGGATAAGAAAGATTGAGCAACAATAAGGTTTGAGATCCAATTTGCAGTGGCTGCTATTCCTCCACCGACTCCACGGTATCTTAAAGGGTAAATCTCAGAGTTCACAATCCATGGCACAGTTCCCATTCCTGGAGAGAAGAAAATAATGTAGAGAGCAAGACCGATGAGAGCAAGCCACCCAAATTTGCTAGGACATCCCCTTGTATACCATAGTCTATCTTCTTTATGGCATAAATCCTTCACTGTGTCATTTGCAACCAAACATTCCCCGGGAAATAACTAGAAACAACAAAAAGGTGTCATATTAACATGTGAAACATAAAGAAGGAAATGTTATGCTGCTATTGTATCTCTATGAGATTGGTGCTTGGTTTTACCTTATTAGCTGCTGAAGCACAGAAACCACAATCTGGAGATGAGGCTTTTAAACACCTCATACAGTCCCAAGAAGCAGTATTGCTAGCCAAACTGTAGTCTGGGCACGTGTAGGCGTTCAGTTGAGTGGTTTTAGTAGCACTCACTAGTGGAGAGTGAGACGTTGTTTCGTGAAAAACTGCTGATAGAAGCCCGAGAGAGATTATGACACCAAATAAGCTGATGACTAGAAGCTTTTTTCTCCCTGTTCTATCGATGAAATATATGCTCACAATGGAGCCAAATGCGTTGAGTCCAGCAGTGACTAGCGAAAGCAGTAGTGCAGTCTCATTGGATGCAAAGCCAGCCAATTGAACTATAGTAGGGCTATAGTACATAACTGTATTTATGCCCACGAATTGTTGGAAAATCTGGAGCCCAACCCCTGCATAAAGTCCCCTTCTCACCGTTTTGGTTTTCAACAGCTTAATCAAGCTAATTTTCTCAGAAGACTCTTTCTCCTTGATCTCTGCTTCAACGGATTCCTTAAGATCTCGAATCTCTGCTGCTACCTCATCTGCTGAATATATTTTTCTTAGTATCCTTTCAGCCTCTTCTGACCTTCCCTGTTGAACCAGAAAATTGTTACGGTTAAAGCTTCAAGCTATCATACTTATGAAGACCAAATACTTGAGGCGAAGCCACAGTATCACCTTGCGGTATAACCATCGAGGTGACTCCGGAAGCAATAACATTAAGATGAACTGCACGATAGCTGGAACACACGCAACCCCAAGCATCCATCGCCAAGTCCCTGGTGCCTACATGAATACCCTCTATGCTTTAGTTTTTAATTTCATTTTATATTAAAGAAAAACTAATATCTTATAAGTTCAACCATCACTCTTGGACAAGGAAATGGTTCATCTTATGCATATTACAATCCAATCTAACTGAAAGGTAGCTTCTCTTAACTTGTGGGCTGGCTTTGATCATCAGAGGAATATGAATAATAGTGCAGAGATTAACGTTTAGTAGCTGAAAGTATCTGGACCTACTGTACAATGATATTTTACATGATTTACCTTGGTAAAAGCCAGGTTGATGAGGTAGGCCAGAAACTGGCCACCAGTGATGAGAAATCCATTTGTGCTCACAAGAGCACCGCGGATTTTTGCAGGGGAAGCCTCAGAGATGTACAAGGGGGAGGTCATGGAAGCCATTCCCACACCAAGTCCAACAAAAACTCGACCGACGATGAGAAGGGCAGGGCCAGGTGCAGCTGCCATGACCACAGCTCCAATGAAGAAGAGGAAATCTGCTATGAGGATTGCACTTCGCCTCCCGTATCGGTCGTTCATCCATCCTCCAATTGCTGCTCCTATTATGGCCCCTGCAATTGCCATGCTCACTATAGTTTCCTGTTTGATGTTTATACCATCAACAACTTGGTGTTCAGTTGCATTGCTAAACTGGAATTCTAACTTGTGAGTTGAGGTTTTGAACTTTCAGTGAGGTTGGTTTTTCCAGGATTTAGAAGCAGAGATCTCTGCTATTTTGGGTTGAAGAAGAATTGGTGTAGATGGATTTAAATCCATGATAAATGAAGCCATCAGTTTACGACCATTTGATAGTATTTTGTCTCTAGAAACAAACTCATTTACAATGTCTTTGTTGCTCTTTTCTAAGCTTTTCAAAATTCTAATTCAAAAAATTGAAACTAAGAAAATATAGTTTTTAAAATTTGAATAAAAAAGTTAACTTGTGCAGGAATGAAAATGATTATAGTTGGAAAATGCATTTGTAAAAACGTTTTACAATTAGGATGTTAAAAGAGTATATATTGTTCTTTTAAGTTGAATGCTTCTACGCTATTATTATTATTATTATTAATATTATTTATATATTATTAGATGTTTAATAATTTTATAATTCCGTTCATAAAATAGTTCATCATAAGAAGAATGTTTCTTTTTTATTTTTAAAAAAGGGTTTTTAGTGTTTACAATTAATTATTAAAACATGTCCATGGTTACTTATTCCTTGTATTTCATCGTTTGAAACATTACTTGTTAACAAAAACAAGCTTCCAAATTTCTGTAAGATGAAGATCCAGCGTGACAAAAAAAGCCATTTTATTTCTTTGGGGTTTTCTGATAAAGTGGACAGCAAAAAAAAAGTGCAAAGACCAAGACAGCCATCTATTGACACTTGTCCCCAAAAATGATCACAAAATTCTGTGTACTACTTATCTATACAAGCTTGCACAACAAAAATGAAACCCCAGAAATTAAAATTAAGGTAGAAAGGGAAAAAGGAAGTCGTGGGATGAAATTAAAATGACCTGTAAAACAGTGTTTTTATCCACAGCCTTGAAATCATCTCTGATGTAGAGAAGAGCTCCAGAAATGACCCCTGAAAATGAAAAACAACATGCATCCTGTTCCTGATTCCAACCAAAAGCTGAAGAGGAAGAAGAGGAAGAAGAAGAAGAAGAAGAAGAAACAATTTACCAGTGTCATAACCAAAAAGAAGGCCACCAATTCCAGCAGAGAATGCAAGACGAAGAACATAAGGCTTTTTCCAAGCCAGAGAGAAGCATTCTCTGAAAGCTGAACCATCTCTGCTTCCATCAATTCCTATTCCTCCCTCCATTACTCTCTCCTTCTAATTCCTTCTACTTCTCAAACTCCCAAAAACAACAACACCAAAAAAAACACAGAGACACAGCAAAAAAGATAGTCTTTTTTTGTGGGTTTTCCAGGAAAATGGATGAGAAATTAAAGCACCAAACTTTAAACCAGAAGAGTCAAGAGAAGGGTCTGGAAATGGGGTTTTTTTTTGGCAGGGAAATGGGAGAGAAAGAAGTGAATAAATAAGAGAAGAAAAGAGTGGGGGATGTTGAAATACAAGTCAACGAGTGTGAATTTTAGAGTCTGGTTTAAGACAAAACATGATGATATGTTTCAAATAAATTTTAATTGTGCTTAAGTTGGAGTTGGCCTATTTGAAATAAAGTTAAAAAAATTTCTAAAATATTTTATTTTAATGTTCATAGTAGAGTCACATGAATGTGAATGAATAAGGTTGTCGATACTGTCCATAAAATTGGCTGTATTTGGACATTGGTGGTATGGACAATCAATTCTCATAAGCTTAATTTTGTTTCTACTCTATTACAAGCCTTCAACAAGGGTTAACTAACAAAAAYTACCTTTTTATTTTGATTTCAAATAATACTAGAGAGTATAAACACGACCACGTTATGAGTTATGAATTTTCGAATATGTGTCCCACACTCGAGGATCGAGTAATTTGATGATTCATAAAATATGACAAAAGACTATAGTTCATTAATTGAGTGAAGTAATTTTTTCTTAAATTTGATTAATGAGTTTTTTAACTTCCAATTTTAAAGAAAATGAACTAGATGTTTTTTTGGCTGAGTTATATTCATGTTGACTAGTGAAGTAGTCGTCCAGTAATGTATATGTTAATTTAAAAACATTATACTTCCCACTAAAAATATCTACTTTCATCCTAATATTTTAAGGATGGAGATCAAGTTGATTGAGTTTTCATTTTCTCTATTTACCCCATTGACACCTTTCTTAGGACTAGTGTATTACCACGTGCAATGCACGTAAATTTTTTTTTTAATTATAAGGTAACTTAAATTTTATATAATTTCACGTAAAATATTTTAAGTATAATTATTTTTAAAAATAATTAAGATTAATTTTTATATATATTTATTATTATTGACAGCGAATTACTAATAATAAAATGCACTATTTATAATTAATTGTTAATGATATATTTTGTAAATAAATAAATTAAAAGTAAAGGAAAAAATTATATATTAATAAAAAAGTAAATACGTATTTTAATATTTTTATTTTTAAATTATTTCAACCTAATATGGGTCCTTTATTTTATTTTTTTAATATTTTGTTTGTTTATTAAATATTTGTTTAGAGCTGACATTTTGTTATATATGTTGAATTTTTTAACTAAATATAAATTATTTTATTGATTTAATTTTATATTATAATTAAAATTATTAAAGAAAAATTCTTCAAATTATATTATTAGAAAATAAAATGACCAAAAGTTTATATTCCACCTTTTAAGATTCTATACAAATTATTGTTTATAATTAATTTATTAATTAAACATTTTTTTTATGTATTGACTTCTATGATTGTTTTTTTTTCAACAATAAGAACATGAGCTTGTAATTATCTATATTTTAAACAAATATTCTAAATAAAATTGCTCAAAAAAGAAACATTCCAAATAAAAAATGTACACTGAACAATAAAAAAACATTAGTAACAAAAAGAAAAATCCAAATCCTAAACTAAATAAAATTGCTAAAAAAAGAAACATTCCAAATAAAAAACACACTAATTAGAAAAATAACAATAGTAACAAAAAAAAAAAAATCCAAATACTTACTATACACTCATCTTTTAGAGTAAATATGTTCATTCTTGAAGATTGCTTGACATATACTATTATTCAACTTTG